TAGCACTTTGAGAGGCTGAGGCAGGTGGATCACGAGGTCAGGAGTTCAAGACCAGTCTGACCAACATGGTGAAACCTGGTCTCTATTAAAAATACAAAAATTAGCCGGGCGTGGTGGCACGCTCCTGTCATCCCAGCTGCCCAGGAGGCTGAAGCAGCAGGAGAATCTCTTGAACTCAGGAGGCAGAGGTTGCAGTGAGCTGAGATCGCGCCACGACACTCTAGCCTGGGTGACAGAGTGAGATTCCGTCACAAACACACACACAAAAGTTCTTAGAGAACTATGAAGAGACTTAGATTCTGACTCCTACGACACCCCACATACACTATTAGACAGATCATCGAGGCAGAAAATTAACAGAGATATCAGAACTAAACCCTTGACCAAATAGTCCTAATAGACATCTACAACATTCTCCATCTGAAATCAACACAGTATACATTCTTCTCACCACCACGTGTCAAATACTGTAAAACTGACCACACAATCAGAAATAAAACAATTATCAGCAAATTTAATAATCCCCATATCATACCAAACATATTCTTAGGCCACAGCTTGATAAATATATAATTCAACACCAAGAAAATGACTTGAAATTATACAATTACATGGAAATTAAAGAATCTGCATGTGAATGACCTTTGAATAAATAATGAAATTAAGGTAGAAATTAAGAAGTTTTTTGAAACAAATGGGAACGAAGATACAACATACTAGAATCTGCAACACAGCTAAGACAGTGGTAAGAGGGAAATCTATAGCACTTTTTGATGCTCACATCAGAAAGTTAGAAAGACGTCAATATAACGACCTAACATCATAAATAAAAGAATGAAAGAAACAAGAGAAAACCAACTCCTAAGCTAGCAGAAGACAAGAATATCTGAACTGAAGGAGATTTAGACATGAAAAGTCATACAAATAAGAAATCTATTGAGTTAAATCTTTTGAAAAAGTTAATAAGATAAACCACTAATAAGATTAGTGAAAAAATAAGATCCAAATAAACACAATTAGAAATGACAAAAGGGACATTACCACTGACCCCACAAAAATATGAATAAGTATTGAAGTCTACTATAAACATCTCTATGCAAACTAGAAAATCTCAAAAAAAAAAAAATGGATAAATTTCTGGAAAAATCCATCTTCCCATAACTAAACAAAAACAACAAAATGAATCAGCAAATAGACCAATAACAAGCTCCAAAATTGAAATAGTAGTAAACAGACTACCAACCAAAAGAAAGCCCAGGACTGGCCGAGTATGCTGGCTCATGCCTGTAATCCCAGCACTTTGGGAAGCAGAGGTGGTAGGATCACCTGAGGTTAGGAGTTCGAGACCAGCCTGGCCAATGTTGTGAAATACTGTCTCTACTACAAATACAAAAATTAGCCGGGCATGGTGGCACTAGCCTGTAGTCCTGGCTACTCCGGAGGTTGAGGCAGGAGAACTGCTTGAACCTGGGAGGCAGAGGCTGCAGTGAGCCGAAATCCCACCACTGCATTTCAGCCTGGGCAACAGAGCGAGACTCCATCTGGGAAAAAAAGAAAGAAAATCCAGGACCAGATAGATTCGCAGCTGAATTCTTACTAATGTACAAAGAAAAACCAGTATTATATCTTATAAAACTATTTTTAAAAATTGAGAAGGGACTCCTCCCCAACTCATTGTATAAAAACGGCATCATTCTATTTATTTATTTATTTATTTATATTTTGAGATGGAGTCTCATTCTGTTGCCAGGCTGGAGTGCAGTGGCGCGATCTGGGCTCACTGCAACCTCCACCTCCAAGGTTCAAGCGATTCTACCGCCTCAGCCTCCCAAAGTGCTGGGATTACAGGCGTGCGCCACCACACCCAGTTATTTTTTGTTTTTTAGTAGAGAGGATTTCACCATGTTGGTCAAGATAGTCTCCATCTCTTGACCTCGTGATCCACCCACCTCAGCCTCCCAAAGTGCTGGAATTACATGCGTGAGTCACTGCTCCCAGCAACAGCATCATTCTAATACCAAAATCTGGCAGAGATAAAACAAAAAAAGAAAACTTCAGGCTAATATCCTTGATGAACATTGATGTAAAAATCTTCAACAAAATACTAGCAAACCAAATCCAGCAGCACATTAAAAAGCTAATTCACTATGATCAAGTAGATTGTATCCCTGGGATGCAAGGTTTGTTCAACAGACACAAATCAGTATGTGTGATTAATCAGATAAACAAACTACAGATAAAAACCACAAAATTATTTCAATAGATACAGAAAAAGTTTTCAATAAAAGTTAATATCCTTCACGTTTAAAACCCTCAACAAACTTGGCATTGAAGGTAAATAGTTCAAAATAATGAGTTATCTATGACAAACCCACAGCCAACATACTGAATGGACACAAGCTGGAAGCATTCCTTCTTGAAAACTGGCACAAGAGAAGAATGCGTCCTCTCACCCCTACTATTCAACATAAAATTGGAAGTCCTGGCCAGAGCATTCAGGCAAGAGAAAGAAATAAAATACATCCAAACAGGAAGAGAGGAAATCAAACAATCTCTGTTTGCAGATGATTCTTTTTCTTTTTATAAAATTTAGCATTAAACTCAGAAATTAAGAAAACAGGATATAGAACAGAGATATTCACTGTCACAAATTTGCCCTGCAAAAATAACAACCGACGTTTTCATAAATCTTGTAACTCATCCATTATCTACAATATTTTCTTATAAAAGTTATGCATTTTCTTTTTTTTTTTTTTTTTTTGAGACAGAGTCTCCCTCTGTCGCCCAGGCTGGAGTGCAGTGGCGCGATCCTGGCTCACTGCAAGCTCCGCCTCCCGAGTTCAGGCCATTCTCCTGCCTCAGCCTCTGGAGTAGCTGGGACTGCAGGCGCCCGCCACTAAGTCCGGCTAATTTTTTTGTATTCTTAGTAGAGACGGGGTTTCACTGTGTTAGCCAGGATGCTCTCGATCTCCTGACCTCGTGATCTGCCCGCCTGGGCCTCCCAAAGTGCTGGGATTACAGGAGTGAGCCACTGCTCCCAGCAAAATGCATGCAGTTTCTACAGCCAAAATGGCATAGAGATTTTACCTATTCTTTTATTTGATAGCATTCTAAAAGCTAAGTCTTGAAATCCTATTCAAAACCACCCAGCCCACCCCTCCCACAAGAAAAAAAAACCTTACAGAAAAAGAGAAACATAAACGAGAATTTCAAACAACTGAAATGTATGATTAATTATTTTCGAAACTCACCTCTTTTGTGCCCTCGCAGGAGACACTGCAGTATGTCCCCGCTAAGTGCCCCAAGTGCATTTTACTTTGCAAGTTTTTTTTGCACCATCTCACTGGGGTCAGGTTGCTTTTGTTTTTTATTTTTTGTCTTTTAGGATACTATTTTTTTCAGGAATCTCAGAGAATCCAAGGGGCAGAAATCATTTCTGTTTTTCCCTCAATACCAGCATAAGATTGGCTGACCTGAAACGTGTCTCTAAGAAAGGGAAGCTAGGTTGGGTGAAGACAATCTTAATGTCTCAAGTGGTTAGCTTTTCAAAGCAAGAGTACACCAGGAGATTCCTCTTAGCCCCAGGGCATCCATCTGCTCTCCTGAGAGACTGCACTTTATACCTCTTGTCCTGTGAGAAAAAATGACCCAGAAGCTAATAATCATCAAACACTCTAGCGACATATCCATGGTGTGTACCCTGGTTTATTCACAGCCAGTACTGAAAACCAGGATCAGGAAAAAGCTGAAGGGTGGCTGACGATACATCAGCCCATCAAGATTAAAAAACAAAAACAAACAAAAAAATTGACTGCAAAACATTTTCATAAGATCTCTGTGCAGGAAGACAAAAGAAAAAGGCACAAAGATTTTTTTTACAATACAGTGTCAGGGAAATATTTTTTGGTTTATTTTCTAGGGCAATATTTACAAACAGAAAGCAAATCTTTTTAAATGTCCCACCCAATGGTTTGTCAAAAAATAAAATATAGTATCAAAAGTCTACACTAAAGGATAAATAGTGAATAATGTGAATTAGAGAAGGAAAGTTGGCATTTGGGATAATCAGAAGAAACTGGAAATTTAGTATTTTACTGCAAGTCAGAATTAAGCTGGAGGGGTTGAGGGGTAGACGTGAGACTCCGTTTGAGAAACAAGGAAAAAAAAATGCAGATCTGTCCCCTGTCGAGTGTGAATATAGTTAAGTAACAGGCAATTCGAGGTATGTGGCTGCGATGCCTGGATTCCTACTTAAAAAAAAAAAAAAATGTAACTCAAATGTATTTTTTTGTAAATTACTACATTGGGGAAAACAAAATTTAGGCGTAACAAACTATAAACTGCCTATTAAGCTCTGATTATATAATCAGAAAATGTGTACCCTATAGATGCTAATTTAGAAACTATGTAACTGTACCTAACCGATTTCTGAATTTGGGTTTCTGCATCATGCATCTTCTAAAAGTCTTTCCTTCAAGCTCGTCCCATGGATAACAACTACACCCCAAAGCTGGGTGCTCTACAATTTTAGAATCACTCTTTAATTAAATTCGTTAATATTTTGGCGGTGACTCCCATAACTTTTTAACAGAAGGAAAAAGGAATTGGGAACGCCATGGACCAAGGCTCTTCCCATTCATGAACCCGCATCCCTAGTCAGGATTCTCCCCCGACGATCCTCCCTGGTACCTGCACAATCTCCCCTGACGATCCTCCCTGGTCCCTGCACAATCTGGGAGAGACGCGGCGCTGCGGGTGCAGAGCTGCCCAGAGAGGGCTCCAGGCCAGGGCGCACATTGCAGGGAAGAGAGGACGCCCGGGCCCAGCTGTCAGCGCAGCCGCCATCTTATGGCTGAAGGGGACTGAGGCCGAGCTGGGCAAGAACTCGGGCGCAGTTTGTGAAGCTGACTGCGGTGAGGCCTGAGTCCCGCCACAGCCACTTCCCACTGGTTCCAACCAGCCCCGTTCCCTCTCTCGGGATGTCAGACCGGCACTCTCACCATTTCTAGGCTTCTAGGGGGCACTGGCGTCTTAGCTGTGGATCTCCCAATACCCGCAGTTCGCAGGGCTACAGAGGCTGGGCCTCTAGCAGCAGAGTACACAAAACAGACGACAGACGAGGCCTGCAGCTTCTGCTGCAGGAAGACAAAGACCGCGCCAAATCCCGGAAGCCGCCAAGTCTGCTCCAGCTGCGTGCCTGATTGGACGGTCCCTATCCCTGATTGGATAACGTTTAAGGCCCCGCCCCTTCCGGCCCTGAGTGACAGAAGATGTGATGAGATGCTGGGCCGAATGAAGAGCAAGAGGGTAGGCTGCAGCCTTTCCGGGCAGAGCTTCCTCCCTGAACTGAGCCAGGCCCACCCCAGAGGGTATTGCCTTTAACCTTCTGTGTAAGATCATATGCATTTATAAATAGTATGATATATGAATGTTCACAAATCAAAAGAATATAGACCGCGCGCGGTGGCTCATGCCTGTAACCCCAGCACTTTGGGGGGCCGAGGCGGGTGGATCATCTGAGGTCAGGAATTTGAGACCAGTCTGGTCATCAAGTGAAACCCCATCTCTACTAAAAATAAAAATAAAAAACAGTAGCTGGGCGTGGTGGACTGCGCCTGTAATCCCAGCTACTTGGAGGCTGAGGCAGGAGAATCATTTGAACCCGGGAGGTGGAGGTTGCAATGAGCCGAGATCATGCCACTGCACTCCAGTCTGGTGACAGAGTGAGATGAAGGAAGGAAGGGAGGGAGGGAGGGAGGAAGGGGGGTAGGGGGGGAGGGAGGGAGGGAGGGGAGAGGAAGGAGGGAGATGAAAGAAAGAAAGAAAAGAAAGAGAGAAAGAAAAGAAAGAAGGAAAAGAAGGGAGGGAGGAAGAGAGAAAGAGAAAGAAAGAAAAGAAAGAGGGAAGGAAGGAAGGAAGGAAGGAAGGAAGGAAGGAAGGAAGGAAGGAAGGAAGGAGCAGAATTAAAGAACCACAGGTAGATCACTACCTGTTGACGACCTTTCTTCCAGAGATCACTGAACAAAAGATGATGGGGCCACAGGGGAAGAAAACTCTGTGTCTTCAGATCTGTCCACAGTCTTGACCTCCAATGTTAGATATGAAGAAAACAGATTAGCAAAATTATTTTGCTATTTCAACTTGGCCCTAAGTGTCAGGCTGTGGTTTTATGTTTTCTCCTGTGTGTGGGGAACTATGTAAGGACCAATCACATGCATACATGTCTATATGTGTTGCAGCATTACTCAACATTATCTTCAACACATCTAACTTTAAATCAGGGGAAAATATTAGTATCTTTATGGAGCCCACTGTTAGAAGGTAACTAGTAACCAACCTGTCATTAAACCATGGCACGTATCTGCATTGGGTGCATGTATTAGTTAGCTATTGCAGCATAACCAGCCATCCAAAACTTATTAGGTCATAATTGAGATGGTCAGTCATTTAGGCTGGGCTCACTGGGGCCGTTCTTCTGGTCCCAGCTGAGTTCCTTCAGACATGTATCATCAGCTGCTTGTTGACTAGGCAGCTGTGCTTCTGGGGGTGATCTTCTGCTTCTGGGGATGAGCTTCTGCTTCTGGGGCTGTCAACAGAGGCACTTTGCTTCTCTCCCCTACTCCCCCATGTTATGTTATCCTCCAGCTGGCTAACATGTGCTTTGTTCGTGGAGATGGCAGCATTCTGAAAGAAAAACAGAAGTATTCAAGACCATTTGAGCCTAGCCCCCAAACTAGCACACGGTCATGTTCACAGGTTTCTACTGTCCTGAGGAAATAAGGTCAGCCGTATCTAGGGTTTGGAAAACAGATTCCATATCTCAATGGGAATAGCTGTAAAAGCACCTGGCAAAGGATATAGGAGGGATGAAAAATTACTACAATTTCTGCAATTAGTATCATTCTGCCTTTTTTGCATATGTGGTTTATACAACTCTTTCACATCAAGGAACTTGTCCAAAGACCCAAAAATACTAATTGGCTGGGCTGAACCTCAGGATAAATTCTGACTCCAAAGCTCACCCACCTCCACAGATCAAACTATATTACTAGAGTAACTGCTACAGACCCTTGAAATTCTGGAAAGTGACACTTCTGCAATAGAAGACAGATTTTTTTTTTTTTTTTTAAGATTTGTGCCCACATAGTACTGTTTATTATTGGAAATAATCCTGTCAAGAAATTGCAGAAGCACATGGTGGCTCACACCTGTAATTTTAGCACTTTGGGATGCTGAGATGGGAGAATAACTTGAGCTCAGCAGTTCAACTGCAGCCTGGGCGACATAGTAAGATCCTGTCTTCATGAAAAAAAATCAGCCAAGCATGATGTTGCGTGCCTGTAGTCCGAGGTACTCAGTGACTAGGGCAGGAGGATGGCTTGAGTATGGAAGGCAAAAGCTGCAGTAAGCCATAACTGATTACACCACTACACTCCAGCCTGGGTGACAGAGTGAGACCCCATCTCAAAAACATTGTAGAAACATTTTGAAAGGACATAGAATAATTTGGAAAAATAGCTGAGGGATGAGTTTCGAAAATCAAAGCCCAACAATAGATTATTCATTTTTGATTAGAGAATAAATCTGAAAACTTCTAAAAGAAAAACAACTTTAGATAAACTAAATTTAACAGAGTTTTATTGGGCAAAGAGGGATTTGCAAATTGAGTAGCCTGTGGATCCAAAGTAGCCTCTGAAAGACTCCAGCATGGTCACATGATGGTGAAAGATTTATGGACAGAAGCAGCCACGTGACATCAGAAAATGGAAATGAAATACAGGAACAGCTAGATTGATTACAGCTTGGGATTTTCCTTATTTAAACATGGTTTGAACATTTGACATCCTTTTGTTGGTCAAAACACAGTGGTTGGTACAAAAATGAGTACAGTCTATTTACACATTCAGTTAAGTTTCAGTTTACTATGTAAACAAAACAAAACAACAAAACATATTGACCAAACTTAAATGTGAAAGGGGGTAGCTAATTTAGAGTATAATTAAACAACTTCTCCTTTTTTGATCATCTTCTCAATTTTGATAGACCAAAACTTTAGACATTGATAACACTGTGTCAAAATCAAAAATGCACCTGGTCTCAGATGCCACTGTGAAACAGCAGAACTGTGGGTTTTGTAAAGTGGAATCAAGAAATTCAGGTTATTATTTTATTATTATTTTTAAAGGTTTGAGCAGAAGGAAACTCCTTGTGTTGAAATCTGCTGTTTACAGAAGAAAAACAAAAACTGGCCTGTATTAGAATCTACCTATTTCCTTAAATTTTCAGTTTGATTATGTCACAGTTAGCATGAGTGACTCATTTTGGTTTGTTTTTTTCTGTTTGGACCTAGTGCACAAGCTCAGTCCAGAATGATGTCCTCTAATAATTTTGTTCAAAAAATTGTCAACAGTGCACAGTGTATCCAAAACTCAGGGCCTTAGTATCACTCTGTTTCCATTATTTAGGGTCTTTGTTCTTATATCATTCACAGGTTATGGTTTCATCATAGTCACATATGTCTTTGAGTTTCTGTCATTCCAGTTAAGGAGCGAAAATTTGATATTCTACAGATGACTGCATGCAAACATTTACAAATTTTGAGAGAATGCAGTGCAGCAGACAGACTACTATTTTGACTATCAGGAGGATAATACCAAGTTTGAAACATGGTTTTTAGGAAGGGTTCTCATGAACCATCAACATTAAATAGATCAAATAATTAGTTATAGTCTACTTATTTTAATCAAACAGCCTGTTCATTAATCCCCTGCAGCTGCGTCTCTGTAATACCCAATACATTTCTCCATGTGCAACTACAAGTATTGGCAAATGCAGACACTTCTCTGTTTATACAGTAAGTAATCCAAAGAAATTCTATTATTCAGCCAACTTTAGTAAAAACTGTAAAGTCTACTGTGTAACTATAGCCTTTACAGTGTAATCTGCTATAAAGCCCTATGATAGGGGATAAATTTCTAACCATTGCCTCATTTACTCTAAATCAGGGGGAAAAAAAGACCTATCAAAGGATGCCCATTTAGAAAAGTAACGGCATCCTGACAATGCTCTTTAACCTATTTTGAATAAGTTCTCTTTAACTTGTGAAACAGGTTAAGAGCAGTGGACATACATTCTGGTTCTGATATTACGAGACAACAAATGTCCCACAAAAATTTCTCATCCACACTGGCCTTCCATTTTTTTTTTTTCTTTTCTATTTTTTGAGACAAAGTCTCACTCTGTAACCCAGGCTGGAGTGTGGTGGTGTGATTTCAGCTCACTGCAACTTCTGCCTCCCGGGTTAAAGCGATTCTCATGTCTCAGCCTCCTGAATAGCTGGGATTACCGGAGTGCACCACCACACTACCTAATTTTTGTATTTTTAGCAAAGACGGGGTTTCACTAGTTGGTCAGGCTGGTCTCGAACTTCTGACCTCATGATCTGCCTGCCTCAGCCTCCCAAAGTGCTGGGGATTACAGGCGTGAGCCACCGTGCCTGGCCTGCCTTTCATTTTTTTACGTATAAAAGATGTTATGTTTTTGCATATATGTTGGCTGCAAAATTTTCTACATATATGTATAGCCAAAGAGTGTACACAAAAGATGCTTTTCAAATTTCTATTGCTTGCAGAGCCATAAACAGACTTAACTAAGAGTATCACGATAGCAAATGTGTCTTGATTTTTGATCTTATAAAAAAAGCTATCTACATAAAGGTGTCCATCTGCTTTTTAGGAGAAACCTTTCTGGTTAGCTTTACTTTAAGATCTCCTATGGGTTTACAATTAAAGAGTTTAGAGGGGCCCTTCTAAGTTGTGAGATTGTCAACCCAGTGCTCAAAGTCTTGAAGTATTGCTTCAGTGTAGATGGCAGGCAGACTCAATCTCTGGGTTCTAGATAAAAAAGGGTTTTAGTGCGCTCAGTCAGTAGACTATTAAGGCTTTCATATGCTTTGTCATAATGCATTAAAGCTTTGTTGAATTTAGTAATATTAGACTTCAGTAGCAGAAGATACATG